TCAAGAGTTTGTGTTTCTTATTTACAACAGCTGTGCTCAGTTCGGAGAGCTCTTCATTTCTAATGATCGTTGGACTAATTTCTGGAATCACATTAATTTTCCTCCTGCTGTATTACTGCAAGTCCAAAGGTGAGACTTTTTGTTCCTCTGATCTCAGAGATTTTACTCTTTAAATATTTATGTGCACAGACACATAACGCAGGCCATGTATAAAACATAACCATGTAAAAGCAGATGTCTTCTTTGAAGTGTTTAATAAAGGTTCAGCTGATGACCAGAGGGTCAGTCAGGATGAAGATCAGCAGCAGGTGTACTCGTCTCTTCTTCATGGTTAGCTTTTCATGTAGTTTAAAAGATTCTGATGCTCTTTGCAACAACACTGCTGCATTTTTAACACTGGTGAATTAAACAAAGTTAATAACAGCATTTAATATAAACGTTACTGATGAGAATACTTGATAATAGTAATGATAAGTAGAATAATTTTCTTTGACCTGCAGGTGATCGTTGTGTCTATGAGACAATCAGAGGCTCTAAAAGCACTGACACTGGTACAGTATAAACTTTAATTCATTCACAGCTCATGGAGGCTGTTATAAAATAACTGTGATTATTATTAAAATAAATAATGTTATTATTTCAGGTCAAATAGAAGGTGATTTATCTGTGATTCAGCTCAAAGTGATTAACAAGACACGTGAGTATCCAACATAAAAGATATTAAATTTGCAAAACTGTTTGTTTTTTAAATGCTTTCATTTCATCACCTCAACAGAGCACCGTGGTGACCCAGAGGAGAGCTCTGACTATTATAATGTCAATCCAAATTCAACCCCAGGTATGAAATCTTTACAGGAGCTCTTTAACTGTTTTATCTGCTCACTCAGTGTGTTTCACTTGTTTTAGTTAAATTAGACGATAATTTTAATGTCCTGTAGATCTGTTTCAGGCTGAGAGGACATTTTACAGTTTATGCTGTTGAGCATGGATGCACGGAAAGAGAGCATTCATTTAATGTGCTCTAATATAACTGACTGTGTCTCATAGATACCAGCCTTCCTCTTTAGGAAGCTGGGTGACCTGTGTGATGGTCCAGTGGGTTCTTCCTGTGGAAAGTGATTCTTTCTGTTTGAATTACACATCTTTTTAGAATTGCATTTTGTTAACTTTTGTCTGTTTTTGTTTTATACCTCTTGAAGCACTTTGTGATGTTTTATCAAGAAATGTGCTATATAAATAAAATTTTACTTACTTACTTAATTATGCGAGCCATGAGACGTAACAGTAGGTGGAGCTTCTCCTCGTGACTGAAGAGCCACTTTGGTTCTCAGCCATCAGATCTTATCTTTGTCATGTTCTGCCTTCTGTTTCCTTCCTGTCTATGCAGTCTCATGAAGAAAAACATTTTAATGAATGAATACAACCCCCCGTTAAGAATTACGCCTGGGTGGAGGGGACTGATAGGACGAGAATATACAGAAAGATTTGCTAAAGCAGATAATGAAAGAAATGTGAGAAATGAGTGTGAAATAGTAAATCTGTGTGGACTAAAACCTGTTTTTATAAACTCCTTTAATCCAGCTTTTATTGATTATTTTTATTGGTTTCTCTAGAATAATGAAACTGCACACATAATGTAGTGCATGTCAGAAGGCAGCGTATATAATTTACATACATGTGCATGAGTCTGTTTCACAGCTGTTTGTTATGATTTTGTTTCAGGTCCATAAAGAGCAGCTCACCATCAACAGAACGAGGAGAGTGACTGATGACAACAGCTTCTGTTGAGGAGACAATATGACAGGTTTTACATCACATTATAGCTAAACGTCTAAAATATTTTTAAAATTTGTCTCTGTTGATATATTTTCTGTTTGATTTTAGTCTTTCATTTACTCCCTGACACTGTGGTATTAGTTTGTTAGAAATAATAATATATGGTATACTATACACTTAGTGCTCTTGTTTCGTATTTTATCTGGGAGCATTTATAGCTTTTATAGAAAATATATAAAATGTAGATTGCGTAACATTTGATGCAGAAAGAAAACATTTGAAACACATGATGTTTAGCAGCTAATAATCTGGTTTTAAATTCAGCTTTTGCTGTGTTACATGCAGGTAACAGTGAATATTATTGCTGTATGTGATCTCCTACATTATGTCAGACTTAATGATGCAACACATGCTGTATGCTGAATGTATCAGTGAATGTATTTTGTATGTGTGTGTTTATATTTCTAGCTATGAGCAGTATTTCTGTTGTATCCTACATCATGTTTGCAAAATAAAACTCAAAAACAAAGGTTTATATTAAGCTTTTATTTAAATTATGCACTATGAACACAGACAATTATAATTACATTGAAGCTTAATCAACACACTTATTGGTTCCTTGAAATGCTGCTAATGATATTTTGTGTTAAAGTGTAACAGGACAAGCAGCAAAGTCAGCTTTTTGTCACATTTCTACTTTTCGTCCTCAACAACTGTGCAGTAAAAATGTCCAAACTTGATGAACGGATGAGGCTTTATTTACTTAATTATAGTTTTTTTCTATCATTGTAGCACTGTCAATAGATTAGGAACAGTGTTATGACTTAAAAAAATAATTTTCAAAATAAGATACCACTGATTCTTTGGAATTTAGTCTAAGTCAAAGAAGACGTTACTATCTGTCTATAAAACCAGTCAAATTGAACCCCATAGTTATATTTTTGGGGGTTGGTAATATTGTATTTCTATTTTATATTCACACCAAGCCCCTGCATGTCCTCCTTGACTACATCCAAAAATCTTCTCTCTGGTCTTCATCTGTGCCTTCTGCCTGGCAGCTCCATCCTCAGCATCCTTTGTCCAAAATATCCCCCATCCCTCTTCTGCACATGTCCAAACCATTTCAGCCTTGCCTCTCTAACTTTGTCTCCAATCCGCTCAACCCAGGCTGTCCCTCCGATCTGCTCACTCACTCCCAGTGAAAATCCAAACATCTTCACACCACCCGTCTTTCTGTCAGTGACACCATCTCCAATCCTTACATCACAGTAGGTCTCACTTCTATCATGCTGCCCACTATTTCCGAGATGTTTAGATATTTATTTTAATTTGCTTTGTGAGTTTGTCTTTAATTGGACTTATTTAACAGTTGAAAAATGTCGTGTGAGTCTCAGTTTTATTTAGTTTTATTTTGAGATACTCTGATTACTCTTTTTTGTTGATAATCTGCTCTAATTTGAACTTCAGTGTTTTGGTCACACCTCTACAATCTTCCCTTTGACAGTTTTACTGTTTGATTGCATGAACAGAAGAACAATGTGCACACAAAAAGTGAAAATGGTACAACACCACTTACAACGTACTATTTTCTCATTTTCTAGATATTTTAGGGCGAGTCAGTCCCTGAGCATGAATCAAGGCTCTGCTCTCACCCAGAATAAAACTAAAGTTTATTCCTCTCGGCTTCATGGTCACCAACACTTCCACATTTACATATATCTAAAATCTCAGACGGATGAAACTAATGCTCAAGTGTAAATCTTCACATCTGTGATGAACATGATTAAACTTTAAACATGAATGTTGTCAATATGATTGTTCATGAGCTTCCATTTTTTATTAATTTTGGCTCTCCAAAACGTGAAATGGGCACGCATGGAGAGGTTGTTTCACTGAATACAAACATTACAGCAGCAGCAGGGGAAGATAATATATTTAAAGAAAAGACACCACTAGTGAGCAAGCAACTGTAGACCAGTATTGAAGTACATTCCAGTTTCGTTAATCACCACAAATATTTTATGTACATTTCTGATATTTATATATTTGTTAAATGGGTTAATAATGTCTATTTAAGTGCTTTCTGTGATTATTATTATGTTGCCTTGACATAAAAACCTCCCTCTGCTGTTATTGCAGTGTACTACAACTTACTGCAACATCTGGGTGGACCAGTGTGTCCAGTATACATTATGGTGTGATATCAGGTTAAACCAGGGGAGGCCCATGTATAGAGGCTGCCATCACCATAAAAATACACCACTGGTCAATGTTTTTGAACACCCCAATTTTTCCAGTTGGACTTAAAAATATATCGTGGAATCAATTTATAGACCAGCATGTCTTCTAAACTTTAGACTCATCAAAGTAAACACCTCTGGCAGATATGACAGCTGAACACGCTCGTGGCATTCTTTCTAGAAATCAAATATTCTTCAGAAAGTTCTTCTCATTTCTGTTACAGATGTTCCCATAAATGTGTGTCACTTGTAGGTTGCTTTGCTTTCACTCTTCTGTCCAGTTCATCCCAAACCAGCTTGATGGGGTTAAAGTCTGGATACTGTGCTGGACACTCCATGTTTTCAAGCTTACCATCTTCTTTTTTCCTGAGGTAGTTCTGGCATAGCTTGGACTGTCTTTCAGCTTTTATGAACCCTGACCAACTAGGTACTTACCAGAGGGAATTGCATGGTGGTGCAGAATGCTGTGGCAGCTGTTTTGGTTCAGGGTGCCTCTCATTCTGCACAAGTCACCGACCCTGGATCCAGCACACAGCCGGAGACCATCACGCTTCTTCCTCCATGTTTGACACTTGATGCCACACACTGTGGCTGGTCTGTGTTGCAGATCTGTAACTGTGCAAACTGGGTTTGAGCACTTTAAACAGGCCAGAGTGTCTGGATTTTCAGCAGGCTCCACCACTGTTTCTGCTTAAGGCTCAGCACCCCTCCTGACCCAGCACAGATTTAAACCATACAGAGTGGAGGCTGATTGGCCCAAAGAAGGAGGGCAAGAAGATGATTGGACTAGAGTAATGATGTAAGTATAGAGACTGACAGTGATAGTGATGCAGAGAACAGAAAAGCAGACTAACAGCCAGGAAAGCAGATGACTGATTACAGATCTTCCTCACACATAGGCAGCTCAACTTACACATAAGCTTCATTTACAATTATCGTATTGCAGCTTGACCAAAGAATCACTGATTTAATGATATTTTTCTTTAAATCTGCTAAGTTAACAGGTGTAAGTGGAGGCCAAGCAACGTAACCGGGTTCTTCTTCCTCTTCTTCTATCAGGCCCATGAAGTGTGCTGTACAATGGTTTGAACGATGGCACACTGATGTTGGGACGAACGTTGAAGTCTAGCACAACACACTTACACCTCAGCAGGAAATCTAACAAGAAGCAAAAATGTATTTAGAGCATTCATACAACATCTGTGTTTCCAGCTGTGCTCTGCTATCCAACAATCAGAGACTGACAGTGTTTGTCTGTAGTCAGCCTAAAGAATTGTAATGTCTGGATTTACTCTGATTACTAATTCTCAAACAGTTTATGGAAAACTCCTACAGTATTTTCAGGAAATGGATTTGAGTTAAAGTGTTTCGTCAGTTTCATCTCAGTGAGTTTCAGTCTGTGCTTGTAACTAAACCATTATCTGCTGCACTCTGAACGACCTGCCATTTTAAAGTCAGTCAAAGTTTGTTCGATCTCAAAAACATTTCCCATGAGCCTCAGGAAGTAGCTCACTGTGTGGTTACTGCGTGACAAAGTTAAGCTTTTATCTCTTTGAATACAACAGTTGCAGCTACTTTTAAGGAAACAGAAAAGAGAAGGGAGGGAGGCGGACTTCATCTCACTTCCTGAATTTGAGTGAATATTTGACCAGAACTGAACTTCATGTTCAAAGACTCTGCAGTGATGACTTTACATTAGTGAAAGATTTCACTGTTGTGGGAAAAAGTGCTTTCGCCTGCTGTGACCATTTGCTCTGAGTAAGTATTACGTCTCTGGGCTGATCATCTATCAATCTGTTTTTAACTGTTTACAAAGCTTCATGGAAACGTGTTTGTTGTATTTTGAAGCAATTTAGTGACTTTGTGCAGCAGCCTTTAGAATATAATCAGAGATTCGTGGCTCCTTGAAAATTAGCAGCAGCTGATTAATATTTCTATGGCAGGAAGAAAATACTAAATGTCTTTTCTTGTGCTTGCCAATAGTTTTAATCACTTTTCTACAGCAGTTTGAACCCATCAGAATGATGTGTTTGTGTGCTGGAGCATCTGTGAGAGTAACTATTATTGGTGGCAAAGCTCCCAGCAAACACAACAAGCAGACGAGGAGCAGACAAAGGAAACAAAATGTCCATCGCTGTTTCTGTAAGAAGTCAGTCGAGCTCCAAGACTTTAATTTTAAAACTTCCTATGCAGTTATTCCAGGATTTGAAATGGTTCCAAGATTTCAAATGTTTTGATGGTCTTGATGTTTAATACATCAAAACTCTTAACTACACCTAACAAAGTAAAACAGTCAATAGAGGCCACTTTCACCATCCAGGGTAAATTTACTTACTTATAACTTTATGACTGCATTTTAGCTCAATATTTGTTTATTAATTTAAAGAGTAAAAAGAAACTAAACTAAAATTAAAAAATAAAAAGTGTCCACAAACGTACCTCTGCCTGTTCTCCATGTCACGGTTCAAATGAATTATTAGTTTCAGGAGTGGAACAGTTTTGAGAATTAGATTTATTTAAATACTGTGTCTGAATATGATTTATGACAAAGACTGTTTAACATGTGCATATATGTGATCAGTGTGTGTATGAGACCTGAAAGTGCAGACAGCTGTGTTCTTGTTGTGTTTCTGGATGTAAAACAGAAGTACTTCACATTTAAAGCTTCTCTTGGACTTCACATGTGTATGATACAACTACAACTAAGTAAATTATTACTTAGTTTCATAAAAATCTCCCTAATTTGTTTCTGCAGCACCAAACATGTCAAAGCATGCTGTAGACAGAGCTTGTTAAGGTGTGATAAAAGGAAGGAAGTGGAGAGAAGAAGAAGTTTTAAAGTCTTTGTTTTCTTCACAGTTCTCAGCGTCTCGTGTGCTTCTTCTTCTTCTTCCTCTTCACACAAAGTCGTAGAAGTTTTCAGACGTGTCACAGCTGGATGTGAGGATGGGACCCACTTTCCTCTGTGAGCTGGGCCTATTCTGTGAGTGCATCACTTCTTCCTTTGATTCATTGACTGATGAACATGTTTCAGTAAAATGACAGAGTTTCAGTCATTTGCAGCATTTCAGTTCATGTTTTGTTATCAACATGGTTGTTTGTAGACGGGATTAGATTTCAGTGCACTGACGCTGGTTTAGTTTATCTAAGAAAGGTTTGTTTCTTCATCAGTGATAATTTGATGCATTTTACATTAAATATATAATTTAAACCAACCATAGCAGCCACTGGTAACACCAGGTGTGTTTGATTGATGCCATGTTTGAGTGAATCTTTAGTTTGATGATGTGTGAAGTTTCTTCCTTTATTGCAGTTCTCTGTACGCTCCTCTGCAGCGGACACGCTCAAGGTGACTGAACAGTTTTCACTTTTATTTATTTAGAAAATATTAATCTTAATGCATGAATCTTAAACACTTTCCATTTCTGTTTTTATTTATTTCTCAATATAAGTTTATGAACATGTCAGAACAGATTTTGATTTGTAAAGTATATAAAAGTGTTTTAATGATGTTGTGTTTGTGTTGGATTCCAGTTCCTGTGCTAACTGTTGAACCCAGCTCGACCATTTTCATCGGAGAGACTGTTAGCTTCAAATGTGACATGAAGGAAGGAAAACATACTGACTGGGAATACAAACTCCTAAAGGATGGCCTAGAAATTTTAAACTCCAAGACAAAGAAAGACCTCAGATTAAAAATTGCATCTACAGCTCAGAGTGGTAAATACAGCTGCTCTGCTCACAGGACGAGATACCAGAATACAAAGAACAGTAACACTGTCTCTGTAACTGTGAAGGGTAAGTCGTCAGTGACATTTACACTAAATAATGTTGTCATGGAAACTTGTTTCTGTTGCTGTAAAGCATAAACTTTAACCAGGAAACTGATTTTACCTGTTACATCACTCACAGTACACACAGTGATAAAATACTCACAGACTCTAAACTTTAAAACAAAGAAATAGAAGAAACATGAAAAGTTTAAGGTGACTGATGTTTCTGTTATTTAAACCAAAAACCACACAGAGCTCTGAAACCATCATTGTGTGTCCTTCAGCAGTGACCTGTGATAGTTTACATTAGTGTGACTTTTTCAGGTCAGACAAACATTTATACTGTAATTATTTAGAGATTTAAACCAGAGTTACAAGTTTCACCACATTAAACCAAATTTTGAGTATTCCCTTTTCTGTTTTTTATGAGTTCATAATGAATAATGCATTTTCCCCTTTTTTCCTAACAGCAGGTAAACCCAGGGCCACACTGACTCCAGGATCAACTATCATACCAGTAGGGGGCAGTGTGACACTGAACTGCTCTGTGGGGAGCTCTGCTGGC